GGAGGGGGCTGGCAGCTGGACCGGCGCGGGAGGGCCGGGTGCGGGGTGAGGGCGCCGCCTGGCAGCTCTCGAGCGGGGAGCTGCGGAGGCCTAGCCAGATGTCAGGTCTGGGCTTGGGGAGTGAGGAGGGGAGCGTGCGGAGGCTGGGGTACATGGGCTGGGAGAAGTGGCTCAGTCTGGAGCGAGGCGGGGGGTGGGTGGAAATCGCCCACGTGGGGAGAGGGGGCCTGCTGAAGCTCTGTTGTGGAGGGGAGGAGCATGTTGCTTTTCACTGAATTGACATCCCCCCCCATCTGCCACCTCTCTTGTTCCTTCAACTATCAGGATCCAGACAGATACTCTCCACGTCCCCTACCTGCACCCCGCCTCCATCTCTGTCAAGCAGGCTCTCTTGGGACTTCACTTCCGCCTTTTTTTTGTCCCTTTTAGTTTGTTTCTCTTGGAGTCGCCCTCTTCTCAGTCTCACTTTTCTTCCTTCCTCTTCTTACTTTTCAGAGCCAGGGGCACCCTGGATCCAGAAAGTGCCAGCCATGGCTCTCCAGATTCCATGACAGTCTCTCCCAGTCCTGCCTGCAAACTCTCCACTCTTCCTGCGGGGGAGGGAACTCGGCAGCTGGATCAGGGGCCAGCTTTGGGGGAGGGGGAGCTCTCAGCAGCAGGTGTTCTCACTGATGCTTCCTAGTCTAGTGGCCCAGGCACCTTTCCTGTCTGTCCTACTCCAGGGCCTGTCTTCTCAGGTCAAGGTCACTTCTCTGGTACTTCCTCCTGAACCCTTTTTATGGTGACAGTCAGATGGGAACGTTACCCGGAGGAATGTTTCTTAGATGAGGGACAGAAGAGTCTCTCTCCATCATGTCCCTTCCTGTATGCATTTTCTCATGTTTCCCGTATCAGTTTGGGATGGCTGGCCCCAACCCACACGTACACTATTCTGACTTTTCCCCTTCACTTGTCCAATACCAGAAAGAAAGGTGAGGATCATCACTGATAATATCTGGAGTCCAAGGCCCATGCTGAGAAAAGTATCTAACAGAATCCTCTTTTATGCTTGAAATCTGGGACCACACCACCCACCTCAGGATCTGCCTTAATAGAGGGTTTGTGGGTGTTCCTGGCATGGGCTTGAATTTTAAAATCCGACTGATTTGCATTTTTTACAGCACCCTAGGTGGGAGGTGGTGAGGGGAGGAAGAGAGAGTCTGTGGATGCCAAAGGAATAAAAAAGGCAATAGGAATCTGCACTGAGCTGAACTCCAGGTCTCGATTTGCACCCTCTCCTGCCAAGGACTTGAGCCCCCAGTCCCAGTCCCCCCCGGAGGAGGAAGGAGAGAGGCTGAAGTCACCCGGCTCCCCATTAGCTTTCATTTTGCCCTTTGTCTGAGCAGTTTCAGCCTTTGACTCTCTTGGAGAGGAAGCCAGATGCCTGGCCTGGGGCCCAGAATGACACTCAGATGGGAGAGCTTTGCACCCTCCCTCCACCCATGGTGTTCCGCCCCCTTCCTTGGTGCCAGTCTGCCCAGAGATGAGATGGAGCAGAGTGACAGGCAGAGCTATTAGAGTCTTTTTCCCTCCCTGACACCTCAGCCCAGTGCTTAGGTAGCAAAGCCAAATCTCAGTGCCTCAGTTTTCCCAGTGAGAGTGAAGGAGAAAGTGGGCTGAGTTAACGCAGGCTCAGCTTTTGGCTTCTCCAAGGACTGTGGGGGTTGAATTCAGTGCAGCTTGGTTGCGGCTGGGATAGGAAAGTGTTGGCTTGTTTGCCCCCTAGGCCTGCAGTGGGGTGGGCACGGCATACAATCAGTGTGTGTCATGAGCTTGAAGTGTGTGATGTGGTCATCCCAGGCAGAGCCTTCCCTGCCGCCCACAGGAGGACTGTGTGTTGACTGGTTTTGTGCGAAGTCAGCATCTACCCAGAAATGGCACCCATGGAATACTAGTCGAGTTCTACATTCATTTATTCCATTAAATTCCCTTCAAGAAACATGTGTCCTACAGACACCGGGTTAAACCTGCTGGAAAAGGAAACATTAACTAGCTGTGAAGTTATCTTTGTCCAGAGGGTATTATTCTGTGCTCCTCTCCTGCATCCTGGCCCTGCCCTGCCCTTGGCCCAGAAAATCTAGACAAGAAGAATCAGTTTCTGAAAACCAAAGCAGCAGAATTTCCCAATTTCCTGAAGCAGAAAATTTGCTTTGTAACAAGTGAGCACTGAGGGGAGGCTGAGGGTTTGGGGATCCTGGCTCAATTAAGTTGATGTCTAGAGAACTGGCTCTTTCCTCCTGTTTGTAAGAAGACGGGGATCTGGTTTCAGGGCTGCAATGTGGCAGGAGAGTAGCAGCAGCTGACACACTTCTTCATTAGGATGAAGAGGTCGGGGCTCCAGCTACTCAGCAGGGAACATATCTCTCCCGAAAGAGCCGCCAAAGAGGGGCCCTGCCTGAACAGAGGCCTTGGGACCAGCTGTTCCTTATATGCTGTTCCCTGGAGGGCTTCCAACAAATAGGGTAGACACAGGCACACAGAGGGAGCAGATGTAAGATCCTCACAGGGCATTGCTCATGAGTTCAGATCAGTGTAGAGCAAACAGAGTGCGTAAAGTCTGAGTAAAGTACAGCCAGGCTGGGAAGGCTTCCTGGAGGAGGAGGAGGTTTTTGGAGCCAGTTCCTGGAATGTTGATCCTAGCTGAAATATGGTGAAGCAGCCCTTTCTCTGGCTGGGGAAGGTCCTTCTAGAACAGCTTGGTGTTCCTAGAAGGCAATTATCTATCCACTAGTGGCCACAAGTTCAGAAGCTTCTGGCACATGGAGGAGGACCAGGGTCCAAAGGCAAAGTAAGGAGGAGAAAAGGTGATAGAGGAGATACATTAGGAACAGCCTTCTGCTCTTGGGGCAAAAGGCAAATTTCCCGAGGCAGAAAAAAGCTTTTGCAAGGGATCTCCTAACGTGGTCTCCCCTGATGTTTAGAGCTCAGGGAAGAGGACTTTGGACTAGACGGTGTGGCATGGTGTGGTCATGGGGAAGAGTGTGGAGCATAGGATTTGGGGTCAGGCCAACTTGAACTGAAATCTCTGCTGTGTGACCCTGGCAGATTACTTGACCTCTCTGTGTCTTGGTTTTTTCATCTGTAAAATGGGGTTTTAAAAATACCGACTTTATACAGCTACTGTGAAGATTAAATGACAGCATATATCACATGCTTCCCTAGCTGTATGTCCCTAACACATAACATGGTGCCTGATGTGTTTTAGGCACTAGGTAAACTCTTGATGACGAACTGATCAGCCTGGTGTCATGTGCCACTCATTCACAGAACACACTTACTGAATTCATGCTATGTGTAAAGCACTTTGTCCAGCACTAGTGCTGTGGTTACAAATATAACAGACACAGATCCCGCCTTCTGGGAACTCACAGCTTAGTAGGAGTGATAATAACAACATATATTGACGTTGAGGATTATTGCTGTGCCAGATAGCTAATGTGTTATGTTACTTAATTGCCAAAGCAACACTAAGAAGTTGTGCTTCCGTTATTGCAGTTTTATAAATGAGACATGGGGCGGTTAAGTGACCTGGCTGAGGAATA